TGCCTTTTTGGCATTGCTCTTGAGCTGTTACGCCTTAAGTCCCCTGGCTGGTCCTTTCAGATATTCAATACATCATCGCATCTCCTCTCTTGTTTGTGGGTCGGAAGCAGGGAGGGGACCGACAGGATGCCTTTTATCTCTTTGTGTTGTCTGATTGGTGTGGCTAGGATCTCCAGTACTATGTTGAATAAAAGTGGGGAGAGTGGGGAGAGTGGGGAGAGTGGGGAGAGTGGGGAGAGTGGGGAGAGTGGGCATCCTTGTCTTGTACCTGACCTTAAAGGAAAAGCTTTCAGGTTTTTGCTGTTAAGTATGATGTTGACTGTGGGTTTGTCATATATGGCCTTTATTATGTTAAGGTACTTGCCCTTTATACCCATTTTGTTAAGAGTTCTTATCATGAATGGATGTTGAATTTTATCAAATGCTTTTTCAGCATCTATTTAGATGATCATGTGATTTTTGTCCTTTTTTTTGATGTGATATATGATATTGATTGACTATGAATATTGTACCATCCTTGCATACCTAGAATAAATCCCACTTGGTCACAATGGATGATCTTTTTTATGTATTTTTTAATTTGGTTTGTTAATATTTTGTTGAGGATTTTTGCATCTATCTTCATCAGGAAGACTGGTTTATAATTTCCCTTTTTTGTGGTGTCTTTGTCTGGCTTTGGTGTTAGAGTGATGCTGGCCTCATAGAATGAGTTTGAAGGCATTCCCTTCTCTTCTACTTTTTGGAATACTTTAAGAAAGATGGGTATTAGGTCTTTAAATGTTGGATAAAATTCAGCTGTGAAGCCATCTGAGCCAGCAGTTTGTTCTTAGGTAGTTTTTGATTACCACTTAAATTTCATTGCAGGCAATCAGTCTGTTCAGATTTTCTGTTTCTTCCTGGGTCAGTCTTGGAAGATTGTATTTTTCTAGAAAGTTGTCCATTTCTTCTAGGTTGTCCAATTTATTGACATAATTTTTCATAGTATTCTCTAATAATTCTTTGTATTTCTGTGGTGTCTGTTTTGATTGTTACATTTTTGTTTCTGATTCTGTTTATGTGTGTACACACTTTCTTTTCTTGATAAGTCTAACTAGGGGTTTATGTATTTTGTTTAATTCCTCAAAGAACTAGCTCCTTGTTTCATTGATTCTTTCTATTGTTTTATTCTCAATTTTACTTATTTCTGCTCTGATCTTTTTTATGTCCCTCCTTCTGCTGAATTTGGGCATCATTTACTCTTCTTTTTCTAGTTTCTTTAATTGTGAGTTTAGAGTGTTTATTTGGGATTGTTCTTGTTTCTTAAGGTAGGCCTGTATTGCAATATACTTTCCTCTTAGAACTGCCTTTGCTGCATCACAGAGGTTTGGGGCTGTTGAGTTGTTGTATTCATTTGTCTCCATATATTGCCTGATCTCTGTTTTAATTTGGTTATTGATCTATTGATTATTTAGAAGCATGCTGTTAATCCTCCATGTGTTTGTAGACTTTTTTTTTTCCTTAGTGTAATTTATTTCTGGCTTCATACCATTGTGGTCTGAGAAGCTGCTCAATACAATTTCAATCTTTTTGAATTTATTGAGGCTCTTTTTGTGGCCTGGTTTGTGATCTAGTCTGGAAAATCTTCCTTATGCACTTGAGAAGAATGTGTATCCTGCTGCTTTTGGGTGGAGTGTTCCATAGATGTCTATTAGGTCCATCTGTTCAATGTGTTGTTCAGTGCCTCTGTCTCCTTACTTATTTTCTGTCTGGTTGATCTGTTGTTTGGAGTGAGTGGTGTGTTGACATCTCCTAAAGTGAATGTGTTACAGTCTATTTCCCCCTTTAATTCTGTTAGTATTTGTTTCACATATTTAGGTGCTCCTGTGTTGGATGCATAGATACTTACAATGGTTTTATCTTCTTGTTGGACTGACTCTTTTATCATTATGTAATGTACTTCTTTGTCTCTTGTTACTTTCTTTGTTTTAAAATCTATTTTGTCTGATATAAGTACTGCTACTCCTGCTTTTTTCTCCCTATTATTTGCATGAAATGTCTTTTTCCATCCTTTCACTTTTAGTCTGTGTATGTCTTTGGGTCTGAAATGAGTCAAAGGCAGCATATAGGTGGGTCTTGTTTTTGTATCCAATCTGCCACTCTATGTCTTTTGATTGGTGCATTCAGTCCTTTTACATTTGTAAGTCCAGGGAGAGGAAATCCCAGGGTAAAATACCTCTAAAAACTGAAATCAGTCAAAGGGAGAAATAAAGTTTAAAACCCGTTTATTGCTTACAAACTGCAGTCCAGCACCATCTCTCTCCCCTGCTCTGGAAGAAGCATGCAAGCCTCTCCCCTTAACCTCTCAGGTTCAGACATGCCCTCAGTTGCCCAGGTAATTACCCATTGACATGGAGATGAACTCTCCACACCTAAGGATATGCAAATGCACCAAAGCCAGGTGAGATATTCTGGAAATATTAGAATTTTATCCACAACACTTAAGGTGATTATTGATTGACACATACTTATTGCCACTGTAGGCTTTAGATTTATGGTCACCAAAGCTCAAGAATAGCTTCCTTACTATCTAACAGTCTTTCTTATATTACTAATTACTCTTTTTCAAACACAATCTAAATGTACTTATTTTTCTCTCCTTTCTCCTCCACACTGTATTTTTTAGGTGTCATATACTGCACTCTTTGTTTATCCCTTGACTAACTTTGTAGGGAATTGATTTAACTTCATATTTGCTTGCTAATTAATTGGTCTACTACATTTACTGTAGGTTTATTTTCTCTGGTGACAGCTATTTAGCCATAGAAGCATTTCCATCAGAGCACTCTCTTAAGATATACTCTAGGTCTGGTTTAGTGGTAATGAATTCCCTCAACTTTTGTTTTTCTGGAAATTATTTAATCCCTACTTCAAATTTAATCTTTCCAGATAGAGTATTCTTGGTTGGAGGTCCTTCTGTTTCATTATATTAAATATATCATTGCCACTCCCTTCTGTAAGGTTTCTGCTGAGTCTACTGAGATGGGCTTCCTTTATAAGTGATCTTTTTTTCTCTCTTTGGCTACTTTCAATACTCTGTCCTTATCTTTGCCATTTAATTATTATACGTCTTGGTGTTGTCTTCCTAGGGTTCCGTTTGTTTGGGGATCTTTGCGCTTCCATTACCTGAAGGTCTATTTCCTTTCCCAAGTTGGGTAAGTTTTCAACAATAATTTCCTCAACGAAACTTTCTGTCCCTTTGTGTCTCTCTTCTTCTTCAGGTACCCTATAATGCTAATACTGCTCCATCTGGCTTGGTCACACAGCTCTCCTATTATTCTTTCATTCCTAGAGATCCATTGTTCTGTTTTTTTTGGCTCATTGTTTTCTGGCTCCCTAATTTCCAAGTCACCTACAACTTCTTCAACCTGTGTAAGCCTGCTATTAATTCCCTCCATCGTATTTTTCATTTCCAATACTGTAGTCATCAGTTTTGAGTGACTTTTTTGGAGGCGTTGTATCTTTTTGTTGAGGTCCTCCCTGAGATCTTGAATATTTTTTTGTAGATCTGTGAGCATGTTTATAACTTTTACTTTGAAGTCTTTATGAAGAAGATTGGTGATTTCAGTTTCACTCAGCCCTCTTTCTGGTGTTTTGTCTTGTAGTTTTGTTAGGACCAAATTCCTCTGCCCCTTCATTTTCTTCAGTGTTTCCTATGACGTATAGCTTTAGGAAGGAGGTGCCCTCTAGTGCTCAGAAGCTCAATTTCCTGTGCAGAAGCCCCAGCTGCCGGCTTGCAGTGGGCAGGACACCTTTCTTTCTGGCTTGTAGTGATGTGATTTCAGGGGGCTGTGTGGGCCTTTGTGCCTGATTGTGCGAACAGGAAGAATACTCCAAGTTGCACCACTGGAGCTGCTGTGGGCAGGGCTGCCTCCACCTGGCCTGCAGCAATGGCAGGGCCACTGGTGAACAGGGCCAGCACCTGTGGGGAGGAAAGAGCTCCTGGAACTGGACCGCATGTGAGCGCTCAGGGAAGACATTGGTGCTGCACCCCTAGAGCTGCAGTGGCAGAGCCATCCTCTGTCTGACCTACTGCAATAGTGGGGGCTGGTGGCAAGCAAGACTGGCTGGCGCCTGTCGGAGGAAAGAACTGCCGGGGCTGGCTACTGCATGCAGCTCCCCAGCTGGCCCAAAATAGGGCTGAGCAAGCTGGGGGTTCTCCCTCTGCCTACCCAGGAGTAAAGTGTGATTCACACTGCAGTGAGGATCCTCCAGGCTGTGTTGCCAGTGAGAGGGATGGAGAGTCTGAATCTCCTGAGGGCTTCCAACCTGTTGAGCTGAGGGTGGGCTGGGGAGGTATTGTCCACCTGACCTTTCTCCTAAGCAGAGAGCTCTGTGTAATTCTTGCCCCTCTGGTGCCCCTCTCACTGCTAGTAAGTCTTTCAAACTGCCTGCTTTTCTTTCCTTCTCAGAGGGGCAGGGGAGAGGGGAGCCGGTACAGTGTGCCTGTTCTTCACAGGTGGCTGGGATCTCAACCTACCCAAGTTTTCTGCCTATCTCTGTTGTCCAGCCCTACTAATCACCAGAGTGCCATGTAATGTGGGCTCATGTTCCCAGAGCAGATTTCCAGAACCAGGTGTTCAGGGTCCTGGGCTTCTGCACCCTCCCAGCTCTGTTGCTCTTCCTCCTGCCTGTGAGCTGGGGTCGGGGGAGGGCTTGAGTCCCACCGGATCATGGCCTTTCCACTTCACCCTTTCCTGTAGGGTCCTCTCTCCTCCCCCAGGTGTGGGCAGTCAGCTCTGCAGCCCTCAGGTTGCCTTCAGGGTTAGCTGCACTGGCGGTGTTTTCGTGTCCTGTGTGATTTGGGGAGGAGGTTTCTGCCTTGTCTTCCTACCATCTTTTCCACCCGTATATTCTTTCTCACTGCTTATTACTGAGGATGAACTCCTTATGTTCTTGACTAAGGTCAGTCCCATCAGAAGTAAAAGGAGAAACAGAAGAATCCACAATCATAATGGGTGATTTTGACATGTCTTAACAGATGATGAAACAATCAAATAGTCAGCAAGGATATACAGTATCTGAACAACACAATTAGCAAACATGACTTAATTGTTGTACATAGGTCACTGAACAAATCAGTGAAGGACTACATATTCTTTTCAACCACACAGAAACATTTACCAATATTGACCATATCCTGGGTCATAAAGCAAATCTGTTGTTATTCATAGATGACCTGATGATTCACATAGAAAAGAAAAAAGAATTTACAGCAATATGTTATAATTTGCTGCAATGTTGCTGGATTCAAATTCAAAATACAGAGCTGATTTTATTTCTACATACTTTCTAAATACTATCAACAAAGAAATGGATATAAAACGAAATATTAAAAGTGATGTCATTTAAAATAGCACCAAAAACATCAAATATTAGGAAAACATCTAATAAATGATGTGTAAGACCTATACATAGAAACCCATGAATCATTCCTGAGAAAAATCAAATAAGAACTAAATAAGAGGGGGATATACTCTGTTTACAGATTGAAATACTCAATTTTTTAGAATACCAGTTCTGCCAAACTCGTCTATACATTCAGTGCAACCCCAGGCAGCAGGATTGTGAAAATCTATAAACTGATTCTAAAAATGTATACGGAAATGGAAAGGGCAAAGAATGACTAAGGCAAAACTGGAGAAAAGGAACAAAGCTAGAGGGCTTGTTACAAACCTATCCTAAGATATTCTTAAGACAGTGTGACAGTGGCACAGGATAGACAAATAGAGCAACAAAAAAGAGTAGAGTCTAGAAACTGACCCACAAATATATTGCCACCTGATTTATAACAAAAGAGACACTGAAATACATTTGGGGATACATCAATAGTGCCTGGGTGGCTGGATAGCCATAAGAAAAGAAAGTTTTTGAAGTCTACCTCACGCTACCCACAATGATAAAATAATATATATTATATATCAATGTTAAAGTATAAACAATAGAAGTTTTAGATGAAAGCAGGTAAGAATGTGCTCATGACTTTGGAGTATGCAAAAATTTCCTTAACAGGAAACCAAAAGTACCTACATAAAGGGAAAAATAATAGAATGGACTACTTTATAATGAAGAACTTCTATTTATAATATACATACACAAAAAAGTGAAACAACAGAGTGGGAGTAGATACTTAACACTGAGTATATCCTACAGTGGACTTATACAGAGAGTACATAAAATCTCTTAATGATAAATAAGGAAAAAAGGTAATCAATTGAAAAAAATGGTGACTTTTAAAAAAGGACTTAACAAAAGAAGATAGCCAAGTGGCCAATAAAAATATAGAAAGACTTTTAACTTCAGTAGTCATAGGGAAATCAAAATCATAGTGTGATACCACTACATAACCAACAACATGGCTAAAATGAAAAAAAGAGAGAGACAATATCTAATGTCGGGAATATTTGGAGCAACAGAATTCTCATACACTGCTGGTGGAAATGTCAGTATATTGGTACAACCACTTTGGAAAATTGGCGCTGTTTATTAAAGCTAAAATATGCCTACCAAATGATCCATCAATTTTCTTCTAGCTATATTCTCATAAATTAAGGTATAAATATCCCCAAAGACTTGTAGAAAAATTCATAACAGCACTGTCCTAACAGCCAAATCTGGAAACAAGCCAAATGAACACGTACTTTGGGAAGATTAAATTATCTTGTATTTATACAACAGAATAATACACAGGCAGGAGAATAAAAGGATTTCAATTATACATAATAACGTATGAGTTTCAGAATCATAATGTGGAGCCACAGAAGTCAGGCACAATGGAGGATTCATACTATCTGAGTCCACCCATACAAAGCACAGATTCAATCAAAAGTTTTAAATAGATTTAAAACATTGAGCAAGTTGTTAAAAAAAAAAAACGCGTTTCCCTTTAGGTGCTTTCCTCATTTCCACCTTCGTCTGTCATCTGGTTTTTCATACCCACCATGAAAATCTATGGTGTTAGAAATCTAGGTAGTGGTTCCCATGGGACTAGCAACTTTATTATGGTATAAAAATGGATCCTTGGGGGTTGGTATTATTGTTTCTTAATCTGCGTTTTGGTGCCATGAGCGTATTCAAATTTTGAAAATGTAGTAGTTTGTAAACTTACGAGTTGGACCCTTTTCTTTATGAACTCTGAAAACTGATAAAGGAAGCCTCGGTGACATGGCATGGGGAGACCTCCAATGCGCACTCCCACCCCACCACTCCTCAATTGCACCTGCAACAGGCAAGGACGACATGAACACTTTGCAATTCACACTACTTTGGCCACTTTTCCACCCAGTAGAACGAGGGAAGAATTTCTGCCTCCCCAGCAATAGCCCAGCCAATGAGAGGCTGTTATGACTCAGCCAATGAGCAGCCAGGACACTTTGGACTCTTAGCTTCCTCCAATGTACTTTTTGCTTAGAACAGTCCCACAACTCTTCCCTTTCTTCTACAAAACAATTCTCTTTGTTTCCTGGTGTTTGTGGTTTTGCTATAGCTTGCCTGCTCCCAGTTGCAATTCTCTGCTGTTCCCAGATAAACTCATTTTTGCTGGTAAAATAACAGTTTTGTTTTTAAGGTTAACAGAATGTTATACTGCCAAAAAATTTATGGGGGGTCGGGGGTTGTGTGAGGCGGGAGACATCAAGTTAACTAAAAAAGAGCCTGAAACTTCTATAAATCTCATTTGTGCTGAAAACTGGTACAGAAATAAGTACATATAGACTTATGTCTGCCTGGAAATTGTAATTATCTCAGAAAAGAAAATTACCTCACAAATGCATAAAATATATGTGCATTTGAACAATGCCCACCACTTCCACTGTTACGACACTGGTATTGCAGTTTGCCTTCTAAATGGGCTCTTGTCTCCTGCTTTGATCTTCCAAGCTAAACACCAGAAGGAACAAAATTATATCAGTTAGGATTCAGTCCGAGAATTAGAACCACTGGAAGGATCCGCAATAGGAGATTTTTGAAACTAAGGATTAGACTCTTCCCAACTGTGGACTTGGTGAAGTAATCTGCAGGGTGGTGTTCCCTCCACATCTGGTGGTGGGTCTGAGGTCACTGTAGGTTAGTTGGCAGTGCAGTCAGGATATAAAGGCTAGATGTGAAATAGGAGAAAGTGAAGTCCAACTAGAAACTGTCAGTGTCTCATGACCTCCAGCTTCTACAACATGAGTGACCTGCAGAAGTTGGCACCCTGCCTGCCATGGGCTGTACACACACCTGCCCCACACTTGGAGAAGCCGAATGACAGGAGGCTGACAGGTGTCTGAGTGGTCACAGGCCCAACGAGGGTGATCATGCCAGCAGGGCAAGTTAGCCGATGAGCAGCAACACGAAGCAGGGCAGCAGCAAGCAGACCCCACAGCCCTTTAGAGCAGTGAAGTGCTTCTCTTCCAGCTTGTAAATATGACACAAATATCAGTTCTTGGAAACATGGTTCCAGCATAGCTAACTTGATAGGTATAAAACCACCACCTTCATTCTTTCAAAAAAAAAAGAAAAATCAGATCATGTCCTTCCTCTGCTTAAAAATCTCTTTTAACGGTTCCCTACTTCTTTTAGGTTAAAAGTCAAAATAGTTACACTACCTAAAACACTTCACATAAGATGGCCCTTTTAACTCCTACTACTTGCTCATTCCCAGGTCTTCTGCAGCCCACTGGTCATCTTGCTATTCCTTCAACATGCCAGTAACATTCCTTCAACACCCAGTAACCGTCCTTCCTCAATCTTTCCTCTACCTACGCCCCGCACCCTCGACATTCTTGCCAAGGGCTGTTCTTCCCTCAAGTCATTCTGGACTCTGTTGAAATACCAGTCTCAGGAAGGGATCTCCTGACCAGATTATTTAAAACTGAATTGCCCAGGGCATTCCCCATCCTATTACTTTTCAACAGAGTCCTTATCACCAGCTGAAATACTACAACATTCTCTGTTTAACATCTTCTGCCTCTTCTAGTAGAATTTAAACTCCATAAGGACCATTCTCTTTTCCTATCTCATTTATTACTATATCCAATATCATCTCCAACAGTGACTGGCATATAGGAAGGGATCATTGGATATTCTTGATCAAATGAATGAATAAATGAACTAAAAGTGAGGCTCCACCTCCTCTACACGATCTTTAAATGAAGCTAATTTGTTTCTAGGTTTCAGGCCTAGTCTCTCCACTCTCAAATTTCCATTTCTCCTACTCAGCCCTACCTTATTACCAATATATGGTGTTGACAGCCAAATGTGTATTTCAAAAGCAAACTCTCCATCTGTGCCTTACTCATAAATACATGTGTGTGTGATATATGACCAGACATGTGCATGTTGCAGTTGCCTTAGAGACACAGCTCACTCTGCTTACTAAAACAAATGCACTGTATCTTTACACCTAGACTACAACTTCCCCAGTTTCTCAGTATCACAAAATACCAGCACAACCAATCCAGTTGCTCAAGTCTTAAAAGAATTGAGTCACTGTCGACACCTGCCTTAAACGACCATTTATGAAACAATTACCACGTTCAGCGCGCACTGCTTTCTCACGAAGTATTTCTCACGTCCTTATGCTCCTCTTCATGTTGACTGTCATCATCTTTATCAGACTCACCATCTTCTCTCACGTGGTTTACTTCAAAAATCTCCAAGTCTTTTCTTCAAGTTTATTCTTGCTCCAGTCAGTAAACTAGATTCCTAGTTGTTAGGTAATAGGTAAATGGGGGTAATTTTTTAAATGCCTCTTTTCCCTCTGATAAAATGCTGAAATTGCCTGAAAATATTGTTGGGCTTCAAGGTAAAATTCTTAACCTGATCTGTAAGACCTGATGATTTGTCATCCCACCCTAAATCAGTAACCTCGGCTCATGCTGAATTCTCTTGTTCTGGGCACTTGAGGCACACGGAATTTCTTTCAGTTCTTTGTATGTTCTGTGTTCCTTCCTGTAAATGGTATACAAACGTGGTTTCCATTTGCCTACAGCACTTACTATGGCTGTTGAGCTCCTCCAAAACATTCAGGAAGTAGCCAAAACTGCAAATACAAAGGGAAACTCACCATGCTTCTGAGCCATACAATCCCACACTTCTCACTGCAGTAATCTGTGTACCTCCAATTATATAATTAGTTGTGTAATTGTTTGTCTGAATGTCTGTATTCCCAACAGACGTTAGTGGAGCAGATACCCTTGCTGTTTACCATTGCGCCTAAAACATGAGTGGTACAGAGAAGGGACTTTGCCATATGAGATGAATGGATGAAGGAATATTGTGCAGAGCTGTCGGTAACTGGGTAAATTCTACGACTTCCTTAGTGGGAACAGCAGAAGCTGGAGATACGGGTGTCACTTTTTAAGAGCAAGAAAGGACTGAGGGCTGGAAAACAAGATGCCAGAAGCACACTGGTGTTCACAGGCCACAACTGTGGGCTATCAAAAAGATAAGCATACATTTCAAAAGCAGAAGAGAGAGAATAAAACACAGCAAAAGTGCTCACAAGTATCAGGATAGATTTTGTGGCTCTGGTCTCTGGGGACATGCGGGGGTGTTGCCTAGTGCTGTGAATATACTGGACTTGCTGCTCATGCCTGTGAAGGAAAAATATCATGGATCCACTGGTCCATATCATGAGTCCCAAACAAATAACATCAATAGAGGGGAAAATAACTGAGCATTTTGATTCTGTAATTGTGTTAATAAACAGACGAGAGCAATATCCAAGATTTGATTTCTCACTGATATTTCTGCTATTCTTTTGTCCAGTCACTCCCAGAGGAACAATGATATTTACCAGCAAATGAAACAACCAGCTCAGGATACATGGAGAATTAATATGCTTTGGGGATCTGAATTTGAGTTCTGCCCATCTAGAGTTTGTGGGGTTAATACTTAGGGCCTGAAAGCCGCCCAAAAGACAAGTGGTGCTGAGAGAATTTCCCCAGGCCACTCTTTGAAAATAAAAGACAAGTTTACATTCAACATCATCTAGGAAGTATTTCAACCCAAAGGCTGCCATTATCCGAGGGATTCCTCCACAGAGAAGGGCCAAAGTATTGGCTAAAGAAAGATGATTGACTATTTTTTCTGATGGTCTCAATCCATGTCTCCTGAAAAGAGAGCAGATATTATGACAAAGGAGTAAAGTGTTGCCTAAAATCCCTATTACGGTCTGAGCGAAGATGACCATACCTATTGCCAAGTCAACGGAAATCATTCCCTCAATGAATGAGGTATGATGATTGTGCTCGGAATCCTAGAACCTGGGGAGAAACAGAAGGAACATGTGAATTTCCTCAATTCAAGTGAAATATGGTTCTCAGCATAATTTCTTTAATTTCAGGGGGCCCTATTCCACTGTCACACATAAAACACCCATTCTTAAAGTTTGTTTCTCCTCATCACCCAGTATATTGCTTGTGCTACCTACAACAACTGAAATGATCTTATTGGATTATCTTAATTCTGTTGAAGGAAAACAACTTCCTCCAATAGAAACATGAGAGCCACGAAAGCAAGGATTTGTTACCTATTTTCAATTCATATCTAGGGTCTAGAACAATCTGTTACTAGAAGGTAATAAATATCTATTACATGAATAAATGAATAAACAAATCAGTGGAATCATTATTTTCATGTCAAAATATTTCAGTATGTCCTCTACATAATTAGATTTAATACAGAATGCATACACTCCACTTAATAGTTAAAAATAGTTCATTAAGCTTATTGTGTTATTCAAAACTACATATTCTTGCCTGATTTGGGGGTTTTGTTTTTGATTATGTAAAAGTGTGGCCTTTCTGAGAGATAGGTGCTCAAGTGTCTTATATTGTAATAGTTCCCATCAAATATTCTTTGTTAAATATTATTTTTCTCTAAACCAGTATAATTTTTTAACACAACTTTTGAATCAAGGACCTAAAGCGAACTGAGCAGTTATCTTAATAATAATACAACACTAACAGAGATATATTCCAACAGAGATTTAACACATGACAAATATGGCAAACATCAGAAGCAATCTCCTTTCACTGGAAATAAAGACTAACATGACCTTAGGCATGTTATTATCCAAAATTTTTCTGACTTGGTCAATAAATGACAGGAAAAAAGTTATTCCTCTTTGAAAATTAGGTAATTTTTATGTGCAACATTCCAAAAACCTACTGAGATATTTTAGAAGTAATTTGCCCAAGTATGCAAAAATTTAAAATATATTGTACATAAACAATTCTAAAATCTTAGAAATAAATTAGGTCAGTAATGTGCTAGAAATACAAAAGCTAAAAAATTAAATAGCATAAAGAAATCTTGAATGAATGGAATCAAATTCCATGTTCTTGAGTGGGAAGATATAACACGTCATCAAGATTTGAAACCTCCTCAAATGTGTAGATTCAATATCAATCCAAATAGCAAGATAATTTTTGGAGAACTAGGCAACTTAAATCAAAATTTGACAAGATTTAATGATTGCTCAAGAAAATCCACATCACTTTCATGAGTGCTTTATTATCAAAATTTTCAAACACACAGAAACCAAGACATTTTTCAAAAATAATAATGATGAAATGGATTGACCTTCCCAATTTCCTAAAATAATACACAAAGTGCCCAGTACAAATGAAGAACAGTCAGACATCAATGGCTCAGAATGAAGTGTCCAGAAAAAATTATAAATAGGAAATTCCACAAAGGAGAAAATCAATAGAGGAGAGAGTAACTCTTCAAAATGAGGGACTAAAAAAACTGGTGAATGATTTGAAAAGTATGAAGTTAGTTTGCCAAATCAAATCTTACAGGCAAGTAACTTCAGGGCAAAAAAAAGAAAAAGAAAAATCAGCAGAAAGAGCAGGAACCAGCCACCCACACCCAGACAGAAATGGCAGCAGAGCTCCAGCAGACCAAGGGAGTACTGGAGCTGTCGATGAATCTTGTATGGGCTCTGCACTTGAGCAAAAAAGTGGAGGTGCTTCCCTAAAGTCCACGTTCCTTGAAGTTCAGTGGAATTTCATTACATCATCAAGCTCTTATGAACATTAGACCCTGTACATTCGATCAGCACTGCCCTGATCTGTCATATTTGACTTCAGGGTTTTGATGTTCCCGTGGAATACAAAGTATAAGGCAGGGTCCACATCAGATGTCTGATTGTAGGACCAATATCACATCTCAGAATCCACGTCTTGGACCCAAGTATGCTCAGGTTATTGGGGATGAGGACCAGTGAGGCTATTCACTGGTAAACATGGCTTCTCCCTGTAATGGGGTCTGGCATTTATTCCAAGGTGAATTATTTTACTTTGAAGATCTGCATCTACAATAACATGTAATTTCTGAGCATACCAGTTCTAAGGAAGATTCAGACAATGTCTTAAAATTTTCATGCAATGCACACAAACTTCCAGTATAAATGAATTTCCCAAATTCACTCTCACCCAGACGAAGTCCAGTGAAAACAAAAGACATTAACATTGAGGAAAGATATTCTCTGCACCAGGCCTGTAATTTTCTCTATTGTACATTTAATTCATCTTGACCCCAGGCTTAGGGAATCTCAAACTAAGAAGGTTTAATCAAAGAACGAGGTGAAAATTCAGAGAGAACTAATTCAGGGGAAGAATTGAGGAGACACTATCGGCAGGTGGATGAAAGGACAGGACTCTGCCATGATCAGAGGATGCCCCTTCAAAGTACAGGCCAGCTCTATCGAGGACTCTTATATGCTCTTATGAAAAGGCATTAGTGTCCGGACATTGTGTTGATTCCCATCTCTGAATATTCACCCCTTTGCTTTCTCAGTTTCTAAGCCTGAAATTAAACTCTACTCACCTGAGTAACCTGTGTTCCAGGATGTTGGTGGCAATGTTTACCAGATTTGTCATGGGAGGGGAAAGGTGAGCCCTCAGTTATAGGTTTGGTTCTCCTGACTTCATCTCTCTCGAGCTGTGATTATGATGTTACTTCTAGCATCAGTAACAGTGCCTCCAAGAAAAACCTCTAAACATTTTTTTTTCCTCATCCTAATTATCCACATTAATTATGAGTTTTTAAAAAGAGTATCCCAAGATACTGTCAGAGGTAACTTGAAGAAAATATTTTTCTGCACTGCCTCCAGGGATGATGTCAAATAACTGGGAGGCGTAAAAAACTAAGAGCTTAGGGAACAAACACATGAGCCTGCCTATATTCTGAAAAATCTCTGAGGGGTGTATTTCCTAGAAGAGAATTCTTAGACTCTAAAAACTGTGTTGAAGTCTACCTATTAAATATTTGGTAGAAAAAAAAAAGAGGCCTTCCAAGGAGGGAGGGTGGGGGACATCTAAATAAGGTAGCAGATATGGACAAGAGAACCTATTATAAAAGGTAAAATAAATTAGATGGGAGCGGGAGGTCAACTTACTATGGAGTCAGAGTGTATGGGAGTAAAGGAATGGAGGGGAGTACAGATCACCCTCTCAGTAACTGTAATTGTAAAAGAGTAACCAGAACTTTATGGGGTGAAGGGAAAGTTTAGATACTGATAGGTCAGAACTGATAGATCAGGCTTGTTGAATTGTAACTGAGTATATATTTAATATTCATTAGACCAAAAGTTATTAATAAAAAAAGGGGGATCCATGTATAAGTAAAGAAATTAATCTTAGTTTTTAAAAGGGATATATTACCCATTTAACATACATTTAGGAAAAAGGAATGGGTATAAAGGGAAGCTTATTGTGAATTACAGAAGGAAATGGCATTTCTCAACAGATGGCTTAAACTTCTCTGTGACACAGGAAACAAGCATATCTGAAAAGAAAGGGAGAAGCATAGAGATTTGAGGATGATTGAGATAATTTGGAAGCACTGCAGGAGATAATGGCAGAAAGAGTCAAAGGCTGGAGAAACACTGGGAAGCACTCTACTCCCCTTTGGGCCTCCTTTATTTTTCCTCCTTCTACTCTGAGCTGTGAATATTTTTAACCCTGTACATATGGCCAGCTCCTCTGACACAGAGACTATTTTATCAGTTGTCAGACCACATCCCTAAAGGATGACCCTCCGTGGGTATTTCTAGACTCAGGCTCTGATGGACCAAATAAAAATGATGTCTTGTAATGAAAAAAAAAGAGTCAAAAGCTGAAGCAAAAGAGAGCTGTTGGGCAGAATAATTGGAGGAGTTCAGGTTATTGCCAATGAAATATTAATGCTGACCTCAATCTACCAACTTGAGTATTCAGCTGCACACAACTGCCATTGTGTAGCTACAGGGTGAAAAATGAACACTAGATTCAATTAATGCGGAGGTTTTTCCAGGTCAGGGAGATCAAATGAAATTAGAAAGTATAAGAATACTGGGAGAGACTGAAAGGGTTAACTGGAAAATTACACTGAAGAGAGAAAGAAATAAATATTGGAATGAATTCACATGACAGAATGTATATAAATGAGATCGAAAGGCAATGATAGAGAATAGGGAGCTATGCAGAAGAGAAGCTCCAGAAATCTGCATAGGGCCTGTAAGAACATAGTAATTTTTCCTCCATTTACCCCATGGTCCCAAGCACATAAGCAGGTGAGAATTATGCCTGGGCTTGCCTGGGCTTACCCCACCTTATCTCTAAACATCCCAACCCTCCCCCAAAGCAACAGGCCAATCGGATCCGCCACAATAAAAGCACAATGCTCTGCACCCCGCTGCTGCTCTCTCTCTCTTTGTCTCTGTCTCTCTGTGCCCCTGCTCTCTCTCTCCCTCTCCCTCTTCCTCTCTCTCTCTCTCTCTCTCTCCCCCCTGCCTCTGGAGCAGCCACTCTCTCTTTCAGATAATAAAGTCTTTTGCGTGGGCCCGTGTCTCCTGAGTCGTTCTGGGTAAGGAGGGTCGCGGCGAGATACCCTTTCATTGGTGCCGTGACTTCGGATGAGGCTCTCCCATTGACTTTGCTCTTCCTCTGGGAACCTGAGCTGCTCTGGGAACCCTCACTGCCCGATCCTCCTCCACGGGCTCACTGTCTATTTCCCCAGTTGCTCATCTTCTCACCCAACACCGGCCTTCGATTTGGTGAGTCTCCCCTTCATGGTCGACTTAAATGTCCCTTTGGAACCTGGGAAGTGACTCCCAAGGGCTCCTCTGGGACAGGGGCACCCCCAACCACGACTTTCAGAGTCACAGTTGATCCCCATAGTCGACCCTTCTCTGCCTCCCCATGGTGAGAATCCTCTTCCACTGAGGTCCAGTCTCCCTTTACGTTTCTACTCTACTCGTAAACTCCTGGTACCAGGTACCGAGCCTCCCCAGTGTTTTCGCCTCGACCCCGCAGTTAGAGGTGGTGATGACCCCCTAACTGTGCCTGATCTTCTCCATGACCTTCTCAATTGCTCAGGGATGCCTCAGCGACTTCTGAATGGTCTCGTTCTCACCATGGCATCTGGCCCCTCCATTCCTGGAGATTCACCACTAGGGTGCTTACTCAATAATCTAAAGCCCCTCCACCTCACTCCAGACCTCAAACCTGTTTGCTACTGTAATGAGATCTGGCCACAATATCTCTTGGACAATCAGTCTAAATGGCCCCCAAATGGCTCTTCAGATCCTAAAATTCTCCATGACTTATACAACTTCTGTGAGCATACGGGCAAATGGAAAGAGACCCCATATATCCAGGCTTTCTCCTACCTCCGAACCAAGCTCTCTCTCTGTCTCCCCTACATCCTAAACACCTAGTACCTGCCTTAAAGTCCACACCCCTAAGCTCTTTTCACATTCCCAAATATCCTCAACTGCCTATAAAACTCCTAGACAACGCACCACGGGCTCTCTTGTCCCCTCCTAGCTCAAGCTAGGAGCTTTGTCCTCTCACTGTATCATTATGTCTCAATCTGTATGTTTGTGTCTAAGTGTGTAAATGAAAAATATTTTTCTACCTCCAGATGGTATTAATAAAAATTGATTTAAAGAAAAGCGCTTGTAAAAATTGGGCATTCTAAAACTTCTAAAAAATTCTAATAGAAGATATTAAGCATTAATGCTAATTTAAGTTGAACTGAATAGACATGCCCTTATGGTTATCAGCTGCCTAAGTTTACCTAAAGTCATTTAAGTTGATAGTATCTGTTAAATCTTTCAAAGA